CTTTACTGTTTATGATATAATAAACTGTAGCGTGAATACTAACTTCAAGAATGAAGGATGTAGATTTGACATACTATTTATGATATATAAAATACTATAGAATAAACAGTAACTTCTAGTGTAGTGGAACATATTTGGTTTACTATTCATACTACAATAATTTACTGTAGTTTTTTTGTAGCATAAACAGTGATTTTTTGGATTCTCCTTTAAGTATAGAAGAGTAAATTTAAATGTTAGTATCGAGGCAAGTCCTCGTTTTAGATTATTATTGGTAATGACCATTCAACGAGAGATACGATGTCAAAAGGCAAGATCAACATCAACTTGCAACCGTCCTTCCTGCTTGTTTCAATTTCATTCTAAGACTCTGATCTTCGGGCAAATATTCTTGTTTAATTTTAAAATCCGAATTCAAATTGGAGCTTATTATTTTTTACTCTTTTTCCCTCTTAACTTTACCCCGATTAAGTCTTGTTGACCCACGTGACGGAGTGGATATTAGGCCGAGCAGAGCTCTACAAGTTTAGGCTCATCAATTTTTAAACTGCTTTTGAGAGTTCACTAATTTATAATAGAACAATCATATTTATAAATATATTATTTAATTTATAATATTATAATTATAAGAGGTAAATGAGCTTGTATTTTATAGAAAAAACTATAATAAATATTACGACCAATTTGTTAGAAGGAAGAACTGCAAGATTCCAAGAAAGAAACTAAAAATAATTATAAATTCAAACTCATCAAGAATATTTTTTAAAATTCAAATAGTCAGCCGCCTACACAAAACTTTTCTTATAGCTTGTGCACTAACTATTCATTTCATCCCAACACCTCTTTGCATTAAGAATGCATTTCTTTAGAATAATGAATTACAAATGTCCAAAAAATGAATTTGACGTATTTCTACTGTAAACGGTTTTTTGGCATTTATTTTTTCAATTAATAGCCAGAACGCCGCAAAGCGGCCAGATGACAGATTATGAGTGGAATAATAATTAGAGCCGCGCAACCAAAGATGCTCAGGCCGCGATGCCCAATAAACCCCTAACGCCCTTATATAAGAAAAGAAAAATGAAAGAAAGAAAGAAAGAAAACCCTAATCCATGGAAAAAATCGAAGAAGCCATACCTTCCTCATCCACTCCACTGGAAAAAATCGAGAAGAAAACCCTATATACAATGATTGATGACGTTAGTGCCAATTTGTAAGAAGATTTTCTGTATTAGGTGAGCTCTATCCTTCATCTTCTACATCGCTTCTCTCATATCAAAGTCATGAAAAGGAGATGGATCCAGAGGTTCGATGTTCCATCGAAGCTGTTTTGTATCTACGGATGATTGTGCACTGTTTCCCATGTTTAACCATAATTGTAACAAATCAATTAGTACAAAAAGAAGCTAATTCCATTTTTGACATTATTTCCGGGTAGCCACTGAATTTATTAAATGATAATATAGGCTTACGAAGAAACATGTTTGAAGTAATCATAGTATAACATGTTTAATATTATTTTAGTATCATCATTTAAACTTCAGTTTTAATTCATTTTGTTATCATTAATAGGGAACTGTCAACAATGAGACTCTTGGCTACTTGGCATTGGCAGAGCGTTCCAATTAAAACCTTGGAATTGACAAAGAGAAATTGCGTTTCCGACAACATTTGCCCAATGAGATGGCTCATTATGCTGCAGATTAGGGGGATGCTTGCAGAAATTGAGTGCTCAAATGGATGGATAGAGTGTGTTGGGATTGCTGATAGATCTGCTTATGATCTACAAGCACACTCAATAAGCCTAGAAGACTATAATGTGAATTATATTTTGTCATTCTTTCTCTTATTTACTATAAGAATTATATAATTATTCTTTGTAAGAATTTTCAAAGTATGTCTTTTATAGTAACCAATCTTTTATTTTCCGATTTGTTGATTGACCTTCACAAATTGCTCACAATTCTCTATCTCTAGATTTACTCTTTGGAAAGAAGAAAACTGCATGTACTTTCTCTGATTTCATTTTGTTAGGGTTTTCTGCATAAAAAGTTTTTTTTAGTTAGTTTCTAAAGGAATTGATTGATATATAAATCATGGTGAAGAATTTAATCTAAATTCTAATTTATTGCACCTCAGATTGTTGGTTTTTGGATTGTTTAGTTACTTCTTTTAGCATGGTGAAGATGCTAATTTCTATTTATAATGATTAATTTTGATATAGTTAATCTTAATAATGTCTATTTCTGATCATGTTACCAACCTTTATGTTTAAATTTGATTTAGTTAATCTTTTTTTCCTTTTTAATGAAGATTTGGTTGCTAAAGTTTTAATGGGTTTTGTTTGTTCGTGGTTAGGGATGGAGATTGAATTAGCGTCCAGAGATGATGATTGATGGAATCGAATGCAGAGTGTTCAACTCGGTTCATCAACAATTATGAATACAAAATAAGCTTATTTCACTTTTTATATCATGTATCCCTTGACCTTTAATTGTGGCTATTTTGGATTTCAGTTTTGAGTAATTCATTTTAATCTTCATAAAATTTTGGTTAATAAAGTAGTTATCAGAATCGGAACTTTGCTAGAATATCTAGACGAATTAATAACCAACCTGGTTATATTAATTATTCGGTCTCCACTTTTACGACTATAACTTCATATCTAAAAGCAGAATAGTGTATTTTTGCATAAACATGTTAAGTATTTACAAAAAATGCTTTTAAGAAACCGTGCTTTGCACGGGTTTAAAATCCTAGTATTTTTAAAAATTCAAATAGTCAGCCGCCTACACAAAACTTTCTTATAGCTTGTGCACTAACTATTCTTTTCATCCCAACAACTCTTTGCCATTAGAAAATGCATATCTTAGAATATTAATTACAAATGTCAAAAAATAAATTTGACGTATTTCTACTGTAACGTTTTGGGCCATTTATTTCACATTAAACCAGACGGCCCAAAGCGGCAGATGACAGATTATGAGTGGAATAATAATTAGAGCCCGCAACCAAAGATGCTCAGCCCGATGCCATAAAACCCTAACCCCCTATATTAAGAAAAAAAATGAAATGAAAGAAGAAAAGAAAGAAAACGCCTAATCCAATAGGAAAATCGAAGAACCAATACCCTTCTGCCATCCATGGGAAAAAATCGAAGAAAACCCTATATACAATGATTGATGACGTTAGTGGCCAATTTGTAAGAAAGATTTTCTGTATTAGGTTGAAGCTCTTCCTTCATCTTCTACATCCTTGCTCTTCATATCAACAGTCATAAGGAGATGGATCCAGAGGTTCGATTGTTCCATCGCTGTTTTGTATCTAGGATGATTGTGCACTGTTTCCTGTTTAACCATAATTGTAAACAAATCAATAGTACAAAAAGAAGCTAATTCATTTTTTGACGCGCATTATTTCCGGGTAGCCACTGAATTTTTATTAAATGATAATATAGGCTTACAAGAAACATGTTTGAAGTAATCATAGTATAAACATGTTTAATATTATTTTAGTATCATCATTTAACTTCAGTTTTTATTCATTTTGTTATCATTAATAGGGAACTGTCAACAATGAGAACTCTTGGCTACTTCATTGGCAGAGCATTCCAATTAAACCTTGAATTGACAAAGAGAATTGCGTTTCCGACACATTTGGCCCAATGAGATGGCTCATTATGCTGCAGATTAGGGGGATGCTTGCAGAAATTGAGTGCTCAAATGGATGGATAGAGTGTGTTGGGATTGCTGATAGATCTGCTTATGATCTACAAGCACACTCAATAAGCCTTAGAAGACTATAATGTGAATTATATTTTGTAATTCTTTCTCTTATTTACTATAAGAATTATATAATTATTTCTTTGTAAGAATTTTCAAGTATGTCTTTTATAGTAACCAATCTTTTATTTTCCGATTTGGTTGATTGACCTTCACAAATTGCTCAGACAATTCTCTATCTCTAGATTTACTCTTTGGAAAGAAGAAAACTGGCATGTACTTCTCTGATTTCATTTTGTTAGGTTTTCTGCATAAAAAGTTTTTTTTAGTTAGTTTCTAAAGGAATTGATTGATATATAAAATCATGGTGAAGAATTTAATCTAAATCTAATTTATTGCACCTCAGATTTTGTGGTTTTTGGATTGTTTAGTTACTTCTTTTAGCATGGTGAAAGATGCTAATTTATTTATAATGATTAATTTTGATATAGTTAATCTTAATAATGTCTATTTCTGATCATGTTACCAACCTTTATGTTAAATTTGATTTAGTTAATCTTTTTTTTCCTTTTTAATGAAGATTTGGTTGCTAAGTTTTAATGGGTTTGTTTGTTTCGTGGTTAGGGATTGGAGATTGATTAGCGTCAGAGATGATGATGGATGGATCGAATCAGAGTGTCAACTCGGTTCATCACCAATTATGAAACAATAACTTTATTTCACTTTTTTATATTCATGTATCCTGACCTATTATTGTGCTATTTTGATTTTCAGTTTTGAGTAATTATTATAATCTTCATAAATTTGGTTAATAAAGTAGTTTATGAATCGAACTTGCTAGAATATCTAGACGAATAATAACCAAACTGTTTATTAATTATTCGGTTCACTTTTACCACTATACTTCATATCTAAAGCAGAATAGTGTATTTTGATAACATGTTAAGTATTTACAAAAAATCTTTTAAGAAACCGTGGCTTTGCACGGGTTAAATACTAGTATTTTTTAAAATTCAAATAGTCAGCCGCCTAACACAAAACTTTTCTTATAAGCTTGTGCCTAACTATTCTTTCATCCCAACACTCTTTGCATTAGAAAATGCATTTCTTAGAATATAATTACAAATGTCCAAAAATAAATTTGACGTATTTCTACTGTAACGTTTTTGGCCATTTATTTTTCAATTAAACCAGACGGCCCAAAGCGGCAGATGGACAATTATGAGTGGAATAATAATTAGAGCCGCGCAACAAGATGCTGCGAGCCCGGATGCCATAAACCCTAACCCCCTATATTAAGAAAAAGAAAAATGAAAGAAAGAAAGAAAGAAAACCCTAATCCATGGAAAAAATCGAAGAACCATACCCTAACTGGCCCAATCGAGCATGGTGCCTCCTCTCCCAAGTCCGCGCCCGCACCCCCTTAATCCAATGCATCACCAACTTCGTCTCCATGGACCTCGTCGCCAACTCCCTCCTCGCCGCCGGCGCATCTCCCGCCATGGTCCACTCCCTCGACGAGATCCCCGACTTCACTCCTCGCTCCGACGCCGTCTGCGTCAACATCGGAACCCTCTCCGATCAATGGCGTGGGTTCTCGATCCGGTGGCGGTGTCGGCGTCGGAGTTTCGGATGAGGGCTTGTTTGGGGTTGCTGGAGTTGAGGCCGACTGTGATTAGAGGGAATGCGTCTGAGATTTTGGGATTGGCCGGTGCCCAAAGGATTCAAAGCAGTAAAGTAAGTAGCTTTGAAATTTCGACTTGAGTGTTGAATTTTTTACTAATTGTGACTGCATTCAACAAATTATCCATCTAATGAGGTTCCAACCAGTGCCATTACCCAAAATCAGGATTGGTTACATAATAAGGAGTACACCTCCAGTCCTAGAGTGTACCCCATCTTGTCATAGTATCTGTACATACATCATCAAGACACAACACCCCACATAAGAGTTTACTCCAGTAAAGGATCATGTTACCTACAAAAGACCCTATATACCGCCACCAAAGAGTTCCACAAATACATCATTCAATTATAATGAGACGATCAGCCCCGACACCTTATCCTGCACGTTGAAACTGCTGAGAGATTAGAGCAACGGTGTACACTCTGGCACGGCTTTGAGCAGCATCATCCATGCCATGGCTATCACTGTATCCGATCCTCATATGAGTAGTATTCCTAGCCAAAAGGAAGCAAAGTGAGTAATGTCCCCTCCAAATTTCCAGTGAGTGTTTGTGTTTGCAATAAAAAATTCTTCTATTCCTTTCACCTGATAGACACCATTATAAGGCACACAGAGGAGAATCCAACTCTTTCCTATTAACTTCCGTTATCACAGATTTTCTAGAATACACCCACAAAGCCAATAAATCATGTGGATAATTTGAGATATTGAACTTGTGACATAAAGAATTCCAGGAGGAGTGAACAAATCCACAGTTTAAGAAGAAAAATGAATGTCTCATCCTCCCTGCCACACAGCACACATAGAGGATTAGCAGTTATCCCTTTATGAAGGAGCCTATCTTTAGTATTCAGCTTTCCCAAGAGAGCCAGCCCAACGTAACATTTTAACTTTTAAAGGTGCAACAACATTCCAAATATCAAAGTATGGAGCTCTTATACCCTATCCTCTAAGGAATGATAGCAGTAACTAGTAGAAAATATTCCATGGACACCCCATTTCCATAATATCCTGTCCACATCTGCAGCAGCAGTCAGCCCGTTTCCATAATCTCCTCTATGATCATTAATGACACCTTTAGCTTGTAGTAGTGGTTGGTTCTTCATTCGTTAATCTGAGCATGCAGAATTTTAGGTTAATTAGTTTTTTTATTTTATTCAAGATTTTTTTTTTGTTTAGTCTCTTCTTTTAACTACCAAGAAACGCTACACATTGGATGCAATAAAACTTTGAGAGTTGAAATAAAATGTTTTCTTACCAAAGTCGAAACAAAGAAAATAAAGGAAAAAAGTTAATTCTTGGATAAAGTAACATATATTTTTTTTATCATTAATGTAAAAGAAAATTATGCAGAAGATAAAAATTCTAATGGTCATATGAGGGGGCTTCCCAGAAAGTATGTATCATTGACCAAAAATTATGCATGAAAAAGAAAGAAAATTTTAAAAAAATTAATGGTCATAGTTTGGAATATATGCATCATAACCCAAAAATTATATATACAGAAGAATAGATTCCATTAAAAAAATTTAATGGCTTAGATGAGGGGTTTTCATAAAAAATGATTACAGAAGAAGTGTTGTCTTGTGATTAATCCATTTCTAAACTGATTTATTCTCTACTATAATTTTCCTCTTTCTCCAAGACTATGATATAATTCCATTTAATTAGGGAGCCGATAGTTCCCATGAGTCTTTGGATGCTATGGATGCTGCCAAGTCCTTGGCTTTGAAAACGGGGGCAATAGTTGCAGTATCTGGAGCTGTAGATTTCATTACTGATGGAAGTCGAGCTGTGGGTGCACACAATGGAGTGCCTATGATGCAGAAGATAACTGCAACAGGATGTACTGTTACCGCCCTCATTGCTGCCTTTGTCGCGGTTGTGCCATCTAATGCTTTTGAAGCCGCCGCTTGTGCTTTGTCTATCTTTGGGTTAGCTGGGGAACTGGGCATGGACATGGCAAGAGGACCGGCTTCGTTGAGAATGCATATGATTGATTCGTTGTATAGTCTCAATGAGGAAACAGTAATTTCACGAGTCAGGATTGCTTCTTTGTGATGGGTTCTTTCAGCAGGTGTGTTGGTATTCTTAATTTTAGATTTTGAACATGAGG